GCTGTCCCCTGGGGCTGCCTGCCACATCTGTCATCAGAGGATCAATTTGGGATGGCATGGCTGGGTGCACAGGCGCTCCCTTGGCCTTTCCCAGAGACCCTCTCCTGATCTTTGTACAGTTTTACAGAAAGCAACTCTACAGTGTTGAGTGTTATTGACTTTTCCCTAGATAAAACCCCACAGGGCAAAAGAAGAAAATATTTTCAAATTCTGTTCAGAATACACTTTTAAAATATTCCTCAGTGTTCCCAAATTCCTGAACCTTTTAAGGTTTTTTTTTTAGAATGTGACACATCGCAGACATGAAGCAGATCTGAAAAACACTTTTAAAGCATTTAGTGGTTCATTTTTGTGGGCCCCCACGCCATCTAAGCAAACAAGAAAGGAAATACTATTACCTCATCTCAGACACACACAGAACTGAGTCAGGAAGAGGGGGAGTTATCTGATGAGATGTGATTGTCTACGTCTGAGATACTTGACTAGATTCCCTTTGTAATTAACGGAAATGGATACTTCCAGATTTGCGTCAACTCATCTAAAAGCAGGCTTCTAAAATAGGTCAGATTAATTTCATCCTGATGGTGCCTGCTCTTGACTAAGAACAGGAGCCAAAGCTGACCAGCAGTAGGCAAACTCAGCCTTGTCTTAACTCTCTTAAGTAGTGTAACGTCTGGCTCCTTTGTCAAAGCCAGGTTCAAGACTCAGAGACCCAAATCCAGTCCAGGTTAGGTCCTACATATACATTCTTTCTTCCAAGACAGGCTTTTTACCCACAAAATACAATTAGTTCTACACAGGATTCCACAGCTGCATTAAAATGCCTGTTTCACTACCTAGAAATGAGACTTTTTGATATGGGTCTTTTTCAGTGAATTTGGCATGGGCATCTGTCTTGCCTTTGTTTTGCGTTCCTTTCACTGCTAATTTCCCTCCTCATACCATTAATCAATTTTTTTTTTTTCACTCACTTCAGGAGCAGTGTGAAGGAATGTAATCAGTCCATTCAGGGAGAATTTCACCAGTTCAGAAAAAAATGGGTTTGCTCTGGCTTTAAGCATTGCAGAACCATCTGAAAACAGAGGCCTGGGGGGGCAGGCAGACATGAACGTGCTGCTGAAGCGGTTGGACCAGCCAGGTGGAGATGTGGGGTTGCTGGAATGCTCCACTGGTGGGGCAGACGCATAGACATCAACTCTCATGGAGTAAAGGCTCAGGGAGCACCCTCTTCATGGGCCACCTGAGGGTAGCAGGCTCTAGAAATCCTCCAGCCTCCAGGCAGCTGAACATCCCCAGCTTTGCCTGCCAGCACTCTTTTGGATCAGCCCATCTGCCAGGCAGATGAGCTGGCAGAAGATCAGACAGGTACAATGGAAACCTGCTTGTTTTCCAGCACACCTCCCTCAGAATAGGAACTTACCATGTGGCATCTCAGCTTTGTCTGAAATCCAGTGGGAATTTCCACCTGGAGCTTCTCCAAACGGCACTAAGATTAACCCTGGCCAAGGGCTGCAGGCTGAGACAATGTTTGTGGGCAAAAATTAATGTGCAAATGTATATTTTCTTGTCTATTTTATACTTTTCATGAGTATAAACAGAGCTAATAGGTTAAAATAATACTTTGGAAAGTTTAAAGACCTGTTTTTAATAACCTTTAAATTAGCTTCCCTTGAGAGGTTTTCTTTAAACAGTCTAAATATTTAATATTGTATTTACTGTCCTTGTTGTTAAAGAAATATTTTAATGAAGCAAAGTGGGTAATGACTTGCAAACCACTGATTGTTACAGAAGCAAAACATTAGAGATCATTAAAAAAATAACAACTGATGCTAAAGGTGGAATAATCTACAGAATTTTTGAGCCTACCCTGTGATTCCATACTCCTTGCAGCTGTCAGAGTTTCAGGAAAGTCATGGAACGTAGGGTTTGTGTTTTCTGAGACATAGAATTATCATATTTCTAAGACAGAGCACTACTAGAATATGTTTTATTTGCAAATAAGTCCTCTCCTTTCTCCTGGCTGGTATTTTTCCATTTAATTATTTTCTTAGTTTTACGTCTATATAAAACTAAAGAACCATGAGGATCAACTACCCATAGAACATAAATTATGAATCAAAATATAGTGATTTACCAGTGTTAAAAAAAACTGTGCAATGAACTTTCCTAATTAACTGGTATGTGACAAGCAGAAAAAAATGCAGCCAATTTATGGAGTTGGTTGGTTTGAAGAAAAGGGAAGATGCTAAATAATTTTACTTTGTGAGTTCATATTTTGACTTCTTATTTTTTCCCTCTTTTCAACTCAGATTAAATTACCTCTTCCAAGTTTACAGTGGTACAGAGCAAAATTAATCCCTCCTTATGAAAACCTCAGATTTCTAGAACAAAAACGCAACACAGAATAAGGAATGAGAATCCRAGCATGTCATTATGTGATAACACTGGAAGATAATGGTAAGGGAAGGTTTGCAGAGAAAAACACCTGTTTTGTGAGAAATGAGGAAAAAAAAAMCAAAGCCAAATCACCAAAGCAAAGGAAAAAAATCTCATTAAATACCTTAGATTAGTACAAAACTCAAAAAAAAAAGTTAAGGTTCTGATCCTGTTATTAGAGATGCAGAACTTGGTACATTACATCCTCTTCTTCTTTCTGCTATTTCACTCACTTGTTTTACCTTTTCTTCTTAGATGCTTGTTCATATAGAAGCAAAATCAAAAGAAAACAACAGGGTTTACCTCAAAATGGTAATGTGTCTAGATAAGGCTCAAATCATGCAGAAATCAAAGCCATCTTGGGAATCCTGGCAAAACTGCTCTCAATGTTACAGCTGTTAGTACCCATTCAATGGTTGCAGTCTAAGATTTGGGGAAATTTCCCTATTGTGCCATTCATGAACCTAAGTTTCTTTGTGCCATTGCTTAAAGTTTGCCATCTTTTCAGAGCTTGCTTRACTCAAGATGGATATTAAAGCAGATGGTTTAACACTTTCCCAGCTGGGTCTTTTCTCTCTCTCTTTCCCTCTTCCATAAAATTGTCTGTAATTTTCTTCCTGGCATTCCCCTTTTATATTTGTATCCCAATAGCTTCTCTTCCTCCCAAAACTTAAGCTCCCTGTGTCCAAAACTTCCCAGTGCAGCAGGATGCTTAACCTTCCCTGATCTGGCTTAACTTGCAGTAATGGCATTTGCCCAGTGTAGAGCAGCAGCCTGAGCCTGGGCATTTTTAGCCAAAATCATTTTTGGAGGATCTACTGCCTACTTTTTGTACAAATCCTAGTGATTAGATTTTCAGAGCAGCAGTAAGATTTGAGATCATACCTCTTTTCACTGTGAACAGTTTTGACTCTGTAACTGCCCAGAAGACAATCCGAGTTGCCAGGCTACAGGAAGGAAAACTGACCACTCTTCTTTCTCAGGATGAGCAAATGAATAGCAAGAACAGGCCAGCAGCAGAGCAAGTGAAATGTGGTATGATGTGGTAATTTCATGAATGAGGACATGTAGAAATGAGCAGCATGGATTCTCATTCCCCTCGATAACTTCAGAGTTTAATTCACCAAGTGAAATATAAAAAATAAATGATCGTATTAAGTGGAGCTGCATTAAATGKCTGAATTAGAATATATTATTTTAAGAGAATATAACTACAAGTGGTAATCTAAGTATAACTGTAACCACGCAATATGTGCAATTGAAATAGAGCGCGGTGTTGGCAAAACATTGGGCTGTTTCCTCACTCAGAGCTGCACGGATCAAGCAAGCAGCAATTGTAAGGCTTTTGCATCAACTTACTGAGCTCCTATCACAGCTTGAAGGGGAGAAGCCAGTCACGCTGTAGACAGCTCAGATGAGCGTTCCTTAAAGATTGACATGTTGTTCCCAACTCTCTTCCTAATTAAAGACCCAAAACATTATTCTGCTGCAGTTGATGGCAGTACTTGACATCAAAGGGAATCAAGACTTGCCATTCATTTATGAAGAACTATTTTTACCACATGATTAAAAGAAAAAATAGCAAGACAATTCACAATGCATCCTGTGGTAGCATTCATTTGTGTCTAGGTCATGRCAGACCCCAGAGGTCCCAGGTGGAGCCAAGAGATCAGCTCCAAACTGAGGATGCAGTGTCTGAACCAAGTCACAGTCATCTCCACAGATCCCAGCTCTGGCAGGAATCCCACCCTGCTGTTCAACTGGCAAACAYGCTAGAAGACTGAGGAGCTTGCAAACTAAATAGACAAGGGTACAAAAATCTCCATTGTGCAGATAAGAATTGAGGCACATGAGAGCAGTTCACCTGAGCCTCGTGATTTGTTTTGTTCAAGACTGCAACTGAAAATCATTTACAGTCAGGGCATAAATTCTTTAGTGAAAGAACTGTGAAATATTAGGGATTGCACCTGAGTCTGGAAAGCCTTGGCTCCCAAATAAGTGGGGGAAAAAAAGCAAGGCTCGACAACCTTAAAATCATGATGTTATAAATTGATTACCATTCTCCAGGTGAAATGCTGACCAATTAGGTCTTTGGCATCTCTGTGGCAGGGAATGGGGTGGAAATGGAATCAAATAAGACAAAATTTTCTTCCTCCACAGAACTGTATTCTAGATTTTAGGCAAGGAGATATTTTTTCCATAGTTTATTTAGAGTTGTTGCTCTGTAGAGACCTGCTACTTCACACACAGTATGGTAAGTTAACTCTAAATGGAAGTTCCATGAATGAAACCAAACTCTAGACTGTGTTTTGTATTTTAGTGAAGGTTATTTCAGCATTCCATTCTGGTTAATGAGATAGTAGTAATAAATGCACCAGAAAGGACAGATGGAAGATAGTCAGSTGTCTGAATCAGAAGATTTTCAAAGTGCAGTAAACAAATTATAAAGCACACTTCTCTGGCTCGAGGCCAAGTTATGCTCTAGGGAACTGGTCAAAGAGTGGATCATGAAAAGCTTTTTGGAAGCAGCTAAATTCTACAGCTGTGGTCTTTGTTTTTTCTAGTACTTTGCAAGAACAGAAAGGGGAATTACGAAAGCGCCTATCGTACACTACCCATAAGCTGGAAATGCTTGAAACAGAATTTGATTCTACTCGTCAGTATCTTGAAATAGAATTGAGACGTGCTCAGGAGGAACTTGAAAAAGTAACGGAAAAACTGAGAAGGTTAGTAGTGAACTTTTTGAAACAGGGTTATTAAAATGTTTAAGTGACTATGAAAGACACATGTAAGTAAAAACAAACATAGTTGCAAACATGCATAATTTATTATTTATGGATTATACATTGTTTTCATATTTAATATATCAATTTAATTTACCTCAATATATGTTCCATGCCACACAAAGTTATTTATATCTGATATGTAAGATGTCTCTAAAAGCAAATATGCTCACAGAAGTACACTTTTCTATGTATTTATATGACATTGTTTATGTATAAACATACATGTAGGGTAGTGCCACATGGTGTTACACATACAAAAGTTATAAACATATATATATATTACACCAAAAGTTATAAACACATATATATATTATTTATGCTCTCTATATATGGATAAATCTTTTTTTAATGACTTTGCACATTTCTATGTTAAGTCTTCATTGCACTGATAAAAGAGAATAGAATTTGGCTCTCCATCCATCACTCAAAGCTGAGACTATGTTCAATTCAAATAGTATTAAGGCATTTTTGCATTACAGCATAGCAAATAATTTCCTTTTTAATTTCAAAGTGGAATGATGCTGAAAAGCTATTATTTAAAACTCTTGTAGCTGTGGTACAGTGCTGTTGCCAATCGGGGACCTAGTTAGTGATAAATTATGTTAAGCATGCACTCCTGACATTCCTGGAACTGATTAAAATGRTCTGTAGACTTAGCCTAAAATTTATCAGTGATTATTAATATCCACTTTTTTCATTTGTTTGCAAAACTTCTGAAACTGGAATTATCCACTTGCACAGGAATGTATTTGCATGTCTTGTAAGACTTTCCTAAACCGATATCTTAATGGAACTATTTGATTAATTCATTGGATGACTCAAAACTAAATTCAGAATAAATCATTCCAGGGCAATACCCAAAGAAATACTTTTCATTCCTTTCAGAAGGCAAAAGCCAAACCAAAGACAGAAACCATCAATAAACTGAGTCAACCAAATCCTTTCATGCAAATTTTAGACAGAATGAGTTTGTAAGATCTCAGTTAAGGAAACATCCTAGTGTGGTTCTTTAATTWAAATTCTTTCTAACTGGGGATGCTTCTCAAAAGGAGACAAAAATACACAGGTGTCATGATGATTTTGAAATCTACACTCATCTACCAAGAGCAGCCTGGAGGTTCTCCACACAGTTTTCTTGTCAACAGTATTTTTTTTATCTTTTCACTTAGAGAGAGCCACTGACAGTAATTTCATTCTCAGTGTCATTTTTCTTCTGTACATTCCAGGACTGGGAACACTAGTACTCTTTTCTCTTGAAGCATTAACTCAGGGAGCTGCCACAAAGCAGGAGAGGGGCTGACCATCCCATCTGTTAAAACAGAGGATGTAGAAACCCTCTCACCAATTTCACTGGGCACTCATGAGTTAAACACCTTTTGAAACTCAGGCCAGGGGCTCACAGCAAAGCCTAGAACTCAGAACATCACAGTAGCAGAACTGACTTTCCAATAACTCTAATGGAACATTGTACCATATTATGAAGAAAACTTATATTAAAAATTATGTTTCAGGCAGGTGATTACTCCCCTGAAGACATATCATAATGGAAGCCAAAAATGTTTTACGAGGTGAGCTTTAAAAATGTTTCTATTGAGAATAGCAAGACATCTTGCAAGTTGAAWGACTAGATTTGTCAACCTGGAGAAGGATAATGTCTGACAAAAACCTGTCATCCAAAAGCATGTCAGCAACATGTCACAGAGGAAAATCAATGTGAGAAAAACAAAGAAGCAGAGTTAGTTTCAATTATGTGTCTCTTCCTTTATTCACTGCACAGGGAGAGAAATTCAACCCCACGTAAATAAATAGGCCCTATGTAATGAGATCTCACTTGAACACTGGAGATCATTTGTGTTATTAAATTTCCTTTTCTGTAAAGTGCAATTTTTTTCCAAGAGGCTGAATGTCTATCCTATTCCAACCCTTTCTGAAAGTCTTTGTATTAATTTTTCCAGAATTGCCTGTGTTGCTGCTAGGCCTCCCTTCTTTTACCCAAGTAAGGAGGTCACTCACATGGCWCAATGGTCAAGTTTTCAACCCTTCATGAACATTTAGAGATGGCCTCATTCTTTTTCCTTGTTGGGAGGACAGTGATGAATAGATTTGAAAATAATAACTGTAAAGCATTGAAAAGTGACTAAAAAGGGATAGGGGATTTCATATACCTCACAGTGGTCCCTTACGTGACATGCTCAGCATAGGTTTTATAAGTTAAAATCTAAAAAAAATTCAAAAAACAAACTTGGAACCACATCTGGACTCCAAAGTTGGGTTTCCTCTTTGAGACCCTACCCTAGGTAGCAACTTGGCAAGGTCCCCATCCCATCTTTTAACAGAAAGTAGAGTTATTTTAAGGCATGAGAAGTAAACTCATACAAGAATATATTTAGCACTGAGATCAGCCCACACATATAAGTTTTTCACCAAAAGCAAGACATTTCACAGACTGAAGGGGTGTTCTGAGCAGGAATCCTAGAGGAAAAACTATTGTTTTCATAAGGATGTTGGTATAATTTGTGATAACAGAAAGAAAAGTTTTCTGAATAAGAAGCTACTCTTTCAAGAATCACTTTTCAAAGCTAGCTGCACTTGGGAGAAATTCTCTTCTTTGAAGGAGGTCAGCCCAAGCCTGAGTTTTACTTCAGATGTATTTCATGACCTTAAGAGGGCTTGAGACTGAGTGGAAGCAGAGAAACAGAGGCTTTTGCAGATTTCCTCTTCACTGGTGATCTCCAGTCTCATGGAGTGTATTGTCAGCTGGGTTAGRGCACAGACACCTGGTGCTCAGGATGGTCAGAATGTTTTTCATTAGGCCCTAATTTGATCAAGAATCTAAACACTCATTTAATGTACTGACGTAAGTGCACCTGAAGTCCCATGAGTATCTCCCAATAATGTGAACAACACAAAATACATCAACAAATCATAATAGGTTATAAATTCACATGAGTTTATCCCTATAGCAGTTTTGTAGGATAATGAAGCTGACCTCCCTTCATTTTATTTTCAAAGAACCCAGATTTGCAAGGTTAAAATATTTCATACTTTATAATGTTCAGGCTATCTGGRTGTATTTTTTCTGCAAACAAGGTTAAGTTACCATTTTCTTATCTGATCATTTTCAAATCTGGATTATTTTCCTTACTCTTTATTTCCCCTTCCTTTTATCTTGCAGTTTTGCCCAAAGATTGATCTGACTCTGTTCCTCTTTTATCCCTTAAACACTTTCTCCCATGTATTTCTGGGTCCATTTCTCTCCTCTCCACCTACATTTGCTGACACTTCTTTTGGCACAGTGAATTTCCCATTTGGGGTTTATGCCTRTACGTGCATGTGTATGTGTTTGTGTCCGTGTGTATGTGTTTGTGCTTATTTTGACTACTTTTGCATACTGTTCTCAATAGAAACACTTTTTGAAGCTCAGCTTCCTACTTACTGTGGATTCTTTTTTAGACTGGATTTGTACTGGGAGGTGGTCATTTTCTCCACTGTAAAATGAATTGTTAGAGAACTAGAGTTTGTGGGCTACTTTCTCCTAAACATTGAACAAAAATTGAATGGGAGAAATTGAATGGGAGAAGGCAAAAGAAGTTACAAAGAAAGAAGCACATTGTGATAAACTCTTGCAAAACCCTCTACTATCATCTATGATATGAAAGTGTTGTCACTGAAAAATAATTAATATTTAACCTTTCAGTTGCCCATGTCAAGAGAAAAAGTGACAGCAAGCTGAGGAGCAAACCCATTTTTATCATGATAAATTTTCTATCCAAGCAGCAATTACTGCTGGTTTTATTCACGGTTGCAAAATTATGAAAAGAGAACCTTCAGGGTCTATCTCCCTTGAGCTGCCCACATCATCAGCACTGCAGAACAGCCTGGGGTGCCAGGACACCTGGGCTAGAAAAGCCCTGAACCAAATTTCCCCTCCTTTACTTTCAGGAAGCTGTGCAAGTGCTTTTGAACCCATGCAAACTTTCAGGGCATTGAAGGTGGTAACTGTTTAAATCAGTTTTTACACCACCTCCACTCGAACTCACAAACTGCCTGGGTGCAAAGTAAGTTTAACCTATTCTACTTTGCTTTACTAGACAAAAAATGCARACCATGACAGAGGAGATGCTGGGGCACTTCTGGGCTCAGCCAGAAGACACTATTTGATTTCTCTAAATCCTTCCTCCCTGCACCACAGCACACATCCTTACCAGCAAAACAAAATGTTTGCACTGAGTAGCTGCAGGCAAAGCCATTTTAACTCTCCTTATATCAAGTTAATCTCTGCCTTCTCCTGTGCCACAAAAAGCTGGGTATGGAGTACCCTGAAATTTGTCTCTGTRGTGTTGACAGCTAAATGGCTGGGAAAATCCCAAGTAAATCTGGAGTCGCACAAATCGCTGTCCATAGAGAGGCTTAGGGGTAAATTCTGTGAGGAGCATGGACAGTGCAGAGAATTGTAAACTTCAGTCGATCCTTTAAGTCTCCTGGACACAAACACAACGGCACTACGAGAATTGGTGAGCATTGGCCACATCTCACAGAACAACTCTCACACATTTTCAGCCCGTTTGGGTCACCACCTTAGCAAATACTGTTTACCACAGATCCTCCTCACAGGGAGGAAGGTTCTGCTCAGCTGCTCTGTAAAATGTAGGCAGCATTGAGACTTCCCCCAGGCTTGCAATGCACATTGGAAATGCCTGCCCTGATTCTGGGCTGACCCTTGGTACCCCGAGGAGTTTCACCCATGGGATGTCATTATTTATATCCACAGAGCAGATGTCCTTGGCACAGATATCCCCTCTCAGGGCTGTGCAGCAGATGTTATTGCATTGCTGGGAGCCCCAGACAGAGCTCTGCATCCCTTCAGAGGGGCACTGCAAGCCACTGGCCTGCCCTGAATGGAGAATTCTGATCATTTAACTAGAAAGAAGATCTCCATGGCAACCGAAGCCAGAAGAATCACGTTGCCAGGAAAGGGTGGGCTGGACCCTTTGATTTGCATCCATGGCATGTTTGGAAAACAGATCTTCATCTCAGTTTCAACAGTCACTCCTAGGCAAATGATAAACCAAAGAGACTTCTTTAATCCCAGTCCCATCCTGACAACCACGGAAACTACGCCCAGACCCAGACTTCTCGGAGGAAGGGTGTTCTCCTGCACAAATGTGTGTTACGTTTAAGTTCACTCTTACTGTGAAAACTCTTGTACATTACCTAAAATCTCCTCATTGCTGAAAATACTTTGACCTATTGATCAYTACAAACATAGATTTATTCAGAAAAACTTTTCACAGCTGAGCTACTAACATTTCCTTTTCMTTWGTTATACATCTGAGGGGATGGGTACTGATGAACAAGGAGCTATCCTCCTTAGGTTCTGTGAAGAGAAAGGTGTGGCTGCTACCAAAATACCAATGTTTTGCCCAAGGATTTTGCAGCTTGTCCATTACAATAACAAGGTTACCTTCTAAGTAACCTAGAGTGTGAAGGCTGAAATTTTTCTTTGGTGTGTCGCTCTGGAATAAGCAGTGAAGCCTCATTTTGTGAGCTCATTCAGTCCCTAAGTGCTGGTAAAAATAAATACCCATCTTTTCCCAGCTAAGGTACCTAAATATATTTCCTGAAAAAATAGGCAACTTCTTGAACTTTTGTTGAAAGAAGAAACATTCTCTTCCAAGTCACATGTTGATGCCCACATGTTGCTATAGTCATTAGGATTCTGCTGCAATTTCACGAGAATTTTTTTTTTTTTGCACTGCCTAAGCCTACAGCTCAAGCTTCCTCTCTAGCAAAAAAAAAAACCTATAATTACCTTGTGCAAGTTCCTAGGCTGTAACTTGTGTCTGCAACCAACGTATCTTCACTTCCTGGTGGAATTTGCTGCTAAATTTAGAAAGCAAATATGACAAAGAAGTTTGCTTGGGAAGCAGGTGCTAATTGCATTTCAAAGGCAACCACTGACGGGTAACAGGAGTGATAAGCAAATAGAATTCAAGTAGTGCAAGCCAAGGTTTTGTACTGATGTGAAAATACAGGTAAAAAACAACATGAAAAGCAATGCATTCAGTTACATGATATCATCTTTGTTTTAGGATMCAAAACAATTACCTAGCCTTACAAAGAATTAATCAGGATCTGGAGGATAAGCTTTACAGAATGGTAAGTTATCATAAGTGCTTTTTTATATATATTAAATGGGGTTTTATGGTGCTTAAGTCATTGGGAAAACATGTATGTAGCTGTCACAAAAAAAAACCCTCAAGCTCTAAAATCAGTTATGGTTGAAAAAGATATCATGATGAAGAGCTCAAGCTGTGTACAATGACAGARCTCCATCAATTTAAATAGAGATTGCCCTGACTGATGATCTGGCTGAGTAAATTGTACCTTTAAAATAATTCTGGTTAATTTTGTTAATAACCTCATGGGTTTTAAATATTTATGTTTTCATTAAGTATCAGATTTAAATAAGGTAATCCCAGGTTTTCTCCTGCTTCTTAGATAYTTCCATTCAGCTATTATTAAGTGATTTAATAGAGCTTGGATGGTCTGACTTTTAAATTCTTTCAGTTATCTATCTCAGTATATTAATTTCTAATCTGCATGTATCTGCCACCACAATGTCAATGTCAYTGTCACAGGCAAATTAATTACTGAGAGAGGAAAACACTGCAGCATTTGTGGGCTCCACATTGCAAGACACAGAAGCACTGATTCAAAATAGCTTGAAGATGTCAGAAAGAAATGGCAATGCCATTGGTGCCCTGGCTCGTTGCTAATGCTGCTGGGAYATTGTGCTCATTGTTTGGAGTAAAACTACCAAGAAATGTGAGGATAATTTTTAGAGACAAAAGAATCACAGCTTTGAACTTCCAAAGATCTCAGGCAGCAATTACATGGATGAGCAGATTGGAACGGGGGGAGCAATTTGTTGGACTATAGCAACAAACATGACAGGCACCAGCCTTTACTAAGAAATAAATACTTGAAAATGTCATTGTTCTGATCCCAGAATCGTATTTAAATAGCAAACAATGAATAGGGGACTGAGCTTTTGCAACTGGCTAACAACAGGGCAAAGTTAAAGCTGAGTTGTAACTGATGTTTGATTGTAAATGTATCATAAACACTGCAAAAGCATAAAAAATATTCGGTCTCAGGTTATTGCCTTTTTTCTCCACTCTCCCTTCTGCCCAAATCACTTCAGGATTTTGTCTTCATCTATACCCCAACATTTATTACCTTTGAGCCACAARAGATAAATAAAGTCAAGACATTTGGGCTGGTAAATGAAATAAAAATATTGGAAACACAGAAAGAACGACTCCAGAAAATCCGTGTACTTTTATCAGGTATTTCAGATCAAAGCAAAGAATTTTTAAATTGYTGTTTCAGCATCCAGTTAAATCCTTGAGAAATTATTGCAGAGCACAGCACAGAAAGACTAAAAACCTGTCCTGTGGAGCCCTGTTCCTTTCTTTATCCCACTAATATGACAGTCAGTGAAGATAGAGGCTTGAAGCTTTAGAGGCTTGAAGAAGATCAATCAGGCCCTGTACACCACTTAACTCCAGACTGCTGTGCTCTCTGAAATATTGAAACTGAAGACACAAGACAAAACAAAATAAATGTCAAATGAAAACTCTATTAAAAGGAAAAAGATGAGGAAGAAAATACCATATCTGATTTAGATAAGTCAAACCTTTTGATTTTCAGGGCACTCCTAAAGCCCTCAGTACTTCAGAGACAGTTGAATTAAATAACAGCTGGCCTGGTTAATCCACACCTTATGGTGAACTGGGCTCTTAGATACCTTTCTCTCCCTTTCCTGCTTAGGAGGAACAGCTGTGTGTATTTATCTTTTTCTGTTTTGTTTAGTTTGTCATTCTAAAATCAAACACTTTTGATTTCTCTACCCTTATGCAAATCCAAATATACAAAACCATGTGTTTACTTCCTCCCTCTGCCCCCTACCCCATCCCTCTGAGTACACACACACACTCATGTTTTGACTATTTGGAGTGCTCAAATTCAAGAAGTAGGAAAGTAAAAACCTCCAGGCAGTGTCCCCTTGCTCCTCCCCCTGCAGATGTTATGGGATGCTCCCAGGAGATGAGTTACTCCCKGCCCCAACTCGTGACCCACAATTCTCCCTCTCCCAGTGCTGTTCCCTGCTCATCATGGCTCTTTTAGGATTCCACTGTGATCTCCCTCTTCTAACGTTTTTGGGTATCCTGAATGTTAAAGCCTTTCATGGCTGCTATTGGTATAAGAGATGTAAAAGAATAATCATTAATTYATCAGGAGTCACAGAGAAGAAGCTGATGTAGCAGTTAGTTTTCTTCTAGGCTCTGCTTCCTTTTGGGTGCTAATCTATAAAATATTTAAAAATATTTGACAGCACACTTCTGATCACAGCAAATGATATCCAATTGAAATCTCTGTCACATTCAGAACTTGAAATATAAATATAAAATATAAACCATGGTGTCTGATTTGGCTAAGAGCTAAAAAATGCAATCCTGAAATCAGGAGAGAGCTTGTTGTATTAAACTGGGCAAAACTAAACACTGGAAACAGAAGAGAAATGTGGCTCAGATTTAAAATTCTGCTGTCACTCCTCATAAAACTCCTGCTCTTACCACAGCAAGTGTCTTCAACTGAAGATTTCTTTGGTCTTGCAAGCACTGGTAAAGAAGTGGAATATACAGGCTGTCTTCCTAAATAATTAATYTTTATAACTCTTTTCTCCATTAAGATGTGGGAAAAGACTAAACAGAGTCCTCACATTTTGYACTGCGATTCCATCACAGCACTGTTCAATTAAATGCCTTTTTATAATATTTAGTTCCAGTTGTCACCAGTAATCTTCACTTTCCTTTACACTTGTTCGAGTTTTTGGAGCGTGCTCAGCCATGGTCCTGCTGCTCACAAACAGCAATTACAAGTAGATTATGCAAGTCATCCCAACCATGTGTTAAGAAATCCTTTATATGATCTCAGTCCAGCTGTATCCTCAATATGATCCTCGCTGGAATTAAGCAACGTGTTTTAAAAACCTTTTKAAGTTTTAAGGCTTTTTGGTTCGTTCTGTAGTTTGACCTTTAATGCCATAAGTCAGATTTTTAATGGTATCCTCTTTTGAGAACTGGAGCCTAATAATAGCGGCTTTAATAAACCCAACTGCTAATGAAAATTGCACCCATTTCTCCTCCCCCATCTACATTTTGAATGTTCTTGAAAACATGATCACAGACATCCAGCTGCAAAGAGCTCAGGAGACCTTATTATCCAGAAACACCCTAAAATATGTCTTTTGCAGCTGGGAAGTTTGACAGACAGACTGCTGGATGGTATCAGCTCTGATTCCCACCTCTTCAAAGCCCTCTGCAGTGCATTATACATTTTATCGTCTGTCATGATGAAAACTCTTACATTTTTACAGTAAAAATGTACAAATTTTACAGCTACATTTTACCATAGGACTTTTACAGTATTACACATCAAAGTCTGATTTTTCATTTACATTAAGGCAGACTGGGAGTGTGACTCTGCCATAAAGTTGGGAGAAATTATTCTATAAACCAGCAGTAAAGAGGGATTTGTGTTAAGGATGAACATGTCTGAAATGCTGCACTTGCTGAGCACTGCACTGATTTTTATCCCATTTCTGCCTCTGCCTATGAGCTGGAGGAGGACTAAAAAGTGCAGCAAATACTTTATGTTCTGTTATTAAGAGTTATTTATCCAGCTCTTGACTATGTGAGCTTTTCCAGTTTGCTGGCTATAATTTGTACTTAAACATCTCCAGTTGGRGAAGTCCAAATATGAATTAAATATGAGCTGGGCAGTATTAAGTGGTGCTCTGAGACCATGTGTCAGGGAAATGTTATTTTAAAAGAAGCAGGCTGCTGGGCTTCCAGGCCRGGAAGGTCAAGAATAGGGAAAGGGGTGAAGAATTTGATGACCAATTTCAGTCAGGCATTAAAAACATCTAAGAGCAGTTCGGCTTTGGAATTTGAACCAGTGACCAGATTGCACCTGAGTGTCCTATGATACCAACCAGTCACAACCCCAACATGGTTTAAATCTTAGCTGAAAKATGAAAACAGTGGAGAGAAATCCTGATTCTCACACAAACATAAGGAAAAACAGAAACCCAGTATCCTTAAGTTCTTGAATGGAACAAGATGACTTTGAGAATGACTTTGAACAGAGTCATTTAAAGCCCATCTTTTTCATTTTCTTTCCTTTATGGAAGAATTTGTTTCTCCCCCTCCCCCATGTCCCATGGAAATCAAATAGAGATGACCTAAATATACTTTAAAGGATTTGCATCCCAAAGACAAGAAAGTTTGGAGTCAGCTCAACCTGACGGGCTCATTTACTCACATTCAGTCAAGACAGCTGTGAATTTCAAGAGAAATTTATACTGGTTGGTTAGTTAAGGCAGAACCAGAGAAGGTTTGTGCTTTGTGGACTAAACAAGTGCGAAATAACATTTCTAAGGAAGGAAATGACCGTAAATGCCATAGAAACAAGTGATTTATAAAAATAGTAGTTGGGAAAATGCATTTCTAGGAGGACTTAAGGCTACATGGTCTGATGCTTTCAGGCACTTTATGCAATAGATGTCCATTTCTCACTAACTCTTTTCACACTCATTTTCCAGATTAAAAATATTGCCAGGTAGGAAATAGGATCTGCATACATTAACACCTATGGCAACTACACAAACTCAGACTGTGTAGGTTCCTGAATTTTGCAGTCAAACAAATGAATTCTCCTGGATAATTTGGGAATGTGAGCATGAGCACACAGACTTTCAGATATCCTCAGTCCTTTCACTATCTCTGAACAGAGATTCACTTCCCTTTGTTTGGACATATTKTGGCAAAGGTCTTCAAGAACCAAGGATCAAATTTATTTATAACTTCTAGGTCTTCTCTACCCAAACCCACTGCTTGCAAAAAATATCAAAGAACTTCCTAGGACTTTTCTTAGATCCAATTTACAAAGATGCTTACCTTCCATTTAAAAATAAATTGAAAATTACAAAGTCAGTGTTTGTCAGAAAGAGAGAGAGAGAGAGAGAAAAGAAAGGAAGGAAGGAAGGAAGGAAGGAAGGAAGGAAGGAAGGAAGGAAGGAAGGAAGGAAGGAAGGAAGGAAGGA